TTCATATCGTAGGCCTGCAGTAGTTGAAGCTTAATAATAGCCAAACCAAACCTTCACAAATGTTTCTAAACTTTATTAGGGTAATATCAAAAGTAAAGCAAGCCATTGTTTATAGGGAGAATATGAGCAGAAGAGCAAATGTTAACCAGTGAAAAAACACACTACCCTCCCCTGTGCCCCCCAAAAACACACTACCCTCCCCTGTGCCCCCCCAAAAACACACTACCCTCCCCTGTGCCCCCCCCAAAATACACTACCCTCCCCTGTGCCCCCCCCCAAAACACACTACCCTCCCCTGTGCCCCCCCAAAATACACTACCCTCCCCTGTGCCCCCCCAAAATACACTACCCTCCCCTGTGCCCCCCCAAAATACACTACCCTCCCCTGTGCCCCCCAAAAACACACTACCCTCCCCTGTGCCCCCCCAAAAACACACTACCCTCCCCTGTGCCCCCCCAAAAACACACTACCCTCCCGTGTCCCCCAAAAACACACTACCCTCCCATGCCCCCCCCCAAAAAAACACACTACCCTCCCCTGTGCCCCCCCCAAAAACACACTACCCTCCCCTGTGCCCCCAAAATACACTACCCTCCCCTGTGCCCCCCAAAAACACACTACCCTCCCCTGTGCCCCCCCAAAAACACACTACCCTCCCCTGTGCCCCCCCAAAAACACACTACCCTCCCGTGTCCCCCAAAAACACACTACCCTCCCATGCCCCCCCCCCAAAAAACACACTACCCTCCCATGTCCCCCCCCAAAAACACACTACCCTCCCGTGTGCCCCCAAAAACACACTACCCTCCCCTGTGTCCCCCAAAACACACTCCCCTCCCCAAAGCAAATAAAAAGCTGGACAGCCCTCCCCAAGTAAATTTGGATCTGTCCCTAAATTAGACCAACTTCTATGCTGAGCCGTTGCACAGCCCCCAGCCAGGCAGTGTTGCAGCAAGGTGGGATAGGCTATAGGCAGGGCAGGGGTATTTAACTCCTTACGTGGGATAGGCTATAGGCAGGGCAGGGATATTCAACTCTCTACGTGGGATAGGCTATAGGCAGGGCAGGGATATTCAACTCTCTACGTGGGATAGGCTATAGGCAGGGCAGGGATATTCAACTCCCTGCGAAGTCCAGAGCCTCCTGGCTTTCTGTTCTGTCTGATAACTAATTGCACACACCTGGTGTCCCAGGTCTAAATCAGTCACTGATTAGAGGAGAACAATGAAACAACGCAGTGGTAATGGCTTCCAGGTCCAGAGTTTAGTTTAGGGGGGGGCTATAGGATTTGTAGTTCTTTGACTTTGTGCGATTAATTTACCAGCTATGAAACAAAACAGCAGAAATAATTAAACAGCTACTGCAGCATTTATTTTGCTCTAAATGTGATCACACTTTTTATTCACAAATGCGAGTGAAATGCTCGCACTGGTGAAATGGACATCTTTGGCGGGTGTTAACTTTAGGCTCTGGCTAAGTTCTTTGCAAAAAAATGAGCATAGTATTCACGGGATAGTATTCACGGGATAGTATTCACGGCACATTGTATATATCTGACTGTTACTAGGATAGTATTCACGGCACATTGTATATATCTGACTGTTACTAGGATAGTATTCACGGCACATTGTATATATCTGACTGTTACTAGGATAGTATTCACGGCACATTGTATATATCTGACTGTTACTAGGATAGTATTCACGGCACATTGTATATATCTGACTGTTACTAGGATAGTATTCACGGCACATTGTATATATCTGACTGTTACTAGGATAGTATTCACGGCACATTGTATATATCTGACTGTTACTAGGATAGTATTCACCGCACATTGTATATATCTGACTGTTACTAGGATAGTATTCACGGCACATTGTATATATCTGACTGTTACTAGGATAGTATTCATGGCACATTGTATATATCTGACTGTTACTAGGATAGTATTCACGGCACATTGTATATATCTGACTGTTACTAGGATAGTATTCATGGCACATTGTATATATCTGACTGTTACTAGGATAGTATTCACGGCACATTGTATATATCTGACTGTTACTAGGATAGTATTCACGGCACATTGTATATATCTGACTGTTACTAGGATAGTATTCACGGCACATTGTATATATCTGACTGTTACTAGGATAGTATTCATGGCACATTGTATATATCTGACTGTTACTAGGATAGTATTCACGGCACATTGTATATATCTGACTGTTACTAGGATAGTATTCACGGCACATTGTATATATCTGACTGTTACTAGGATAGTATTCACGGCACATTGTATATATCTGACTGTTACTAGGATAGTATTCATGGCACATTGTATATATCTGACTGTTACTAGGATAGTATTCACGGCACATTGTATATATCTGACTGTTACTAGGATAGTATTCACGGCACATTGTATATATCTGACTGTTACTAGGATAGTAAGAAACAAGACCAAATGCAAAAATAAGCCAACACATTTACATTTTAGTCATTTAGCAGACGCTCTTATCCAGAGCGACTTACAGTTAGTGAGTGCATACATTTTTTGTGTATGGGTGGTCCCGGGGATCGAACCCACTACCTTGGCGTTACAAGCGCCGTGCTCTACCAGCTGAGCTACAGAGGACCACATACACGAGTACATGTACATGAGTACATACATATTTGTATCTATTCTTCATACTGGCCCCCCGCGGGAATCGAACCCACAACCCTGGCTTTGCAAACACCATACTCTACCAACATCCCTTCCGGCCATTCCCTCCCCTACCCTGGACGACGCTGGGCCAATTGTGCGCCGCCCCGTGGGTCTCCCGGTCACGGCCGGCTACGACAGAGCCTGGATTCTAACCTTAGACCACTGCGCCACTGTTAGTTAAATAAAATATGTAATAGTAAACGATAATGTTCAACATATCTTTCGTTTTGGATCAAGTTAGCTAGTAGCTAGCTAGCTGACGGCAAAGGTGTCAGCTAGAGATGACGTGCCGGAGCTTGCAGGGATTTGTAGTCTTTGATGCTAATTAGCATTTTCTCAGCCGAGAGTAAATGGAGCCGAATATATTGATAAAAGTCACCTTGTCCTAATGAGATTTACACGGTTATCAAAACGTCACGCCAGGGTAAGCCCACACAAAACACAACCCTTATTTTAAGTGTTTCTAAAATCCCTTATTAGGAAAAATGAATGGTGAAAACAACTATTGGAATAATTTCTGTGTTTGACCGCTAGGTTTTATGGGTATTATGACAAGTCCACTCTGGGGCTCCATTGGTTTCAATGGATGTAAGAATATATGATAACAGGTCACACTAGAATAGCATTAGCCTACCGTCTGTGGAATACATGTAAAATAGATAGCTCAATGCATTTCAAAATGTTGGTAAGCGAAAACAGAGAAACAGAGAAATTCTTCACTTTTTAAAATTCAATCAACCTGCCTCAATACTATAGATTTAGGGGTCAATTATTTATAATTTAGGGTATAAAGATACAACACTTTTCTAAGGGGGTGAAAACAGTTTATTTGGTGTTCAACAAAGAGGAGGAGATATCTAAAGAGTCAAATATCAAACAAATATTTATGTAAAGTGTGAATGTTACTCAAAATGTTGGCCCACTTGAAGACAACAGGAGAGATATCATTCTCCCTTCAGGGCCCAACACAGAACAGAACAGAACAGAACAGCACAGCAGCATGGAAAATATGGTAGAAAATGAAATAACCAAACATTGGAAAAAGAGTTTAACCAGTATACATGATGTAGACATGAAAACGATGGGTCAGTTATTTTTTTAATGAATGAATCCATCTGGCTCAATAATCCAGGTCATTGTGACATCTTCAGCATTCAGACCACTGAGAACTAAATGATGTCAAGTGAAATAATTATTTTAAAACAAAAAATCAAAAATGTAGTAATGTATGATGAAAGATGTCTTCTTGTCTGCAGTGGGAAGAGATGCTGCCCGCTTGGTGGTTTTCTGGAATTATTGCAAAGATATTGTCCAGACACCAGGTGGCAGAAGACACAGTATTTCCCCTCACTAAAAACAATCTTTGGTGGTGGTTTTGACACCATTTATTTGACAGACTCCTTCCAACTAACGACGACCATATGTATCATCATAATTATGAATGTCTATATATCACCCTTTTCCAACCTAATTTAAGACCTGCCATTCCTGAGCAACATCACGACATGCTTTAAACATACAGTAGTAGGTAACTGGGGAGAACAAGGGAGAAAAAAGTGCACTGGTCTATTCCCTGATTAAACGTCTAGCATTCCAGATACAGAATGAGAATCCTATGGGTGTTCCATCCCCTAAGAGACCTGGAACATGGTTACGAGGGTTCCCCTAACCCCTACCCTAATGCTGCAGCTGGGATATTGTTGTGCACCTAGGGGCTACATCTTGATTCCTTTAAGTGTCCGTAGCTGCTTGGTTAAACTCGGAGGAGTGAAGGCGAGGCTGGTTTTGAGAGAGAGAGGAGCCAGACAGAGAAAAATGCTCAGTGTTTCTCATGCTTCGTAGTGCGGCTGCGTTGGGCGGCTCGGGTTGACTGACAGATCAAGAACAGGAAGGGGTTGTACTTGCACAGGAAGCAGGAAGTCAGAACAGGAGCGAGTTCAGTTAGTCATTGGTTGTGTCCGAAATGGCCCCCTATTCCTTATATAGTGCACTAGAGGGCAAGGGCTGTTCAACTCTGACCCTACGAGGTCCGGAGACGGCTGGTTTTCTGTTCTACCTGATAATGAATTGCACCCACCTGGTGTCCCAGGTCTAAATCAGTCCCTGATTAGAGGGGAACAATGAAACAACGCAGTGGAACTGGCTTGGAGCTCCGGAGTTGAGTTCCAGGGACATAGGGAATAAGGTGAGGTTTCAGACAGTGAGCGTGGGCTACTGGGCCATGCTGTTGAGGCTGCTGTTGGATCCTCCCAGGCCGTTCTCGGTCTTCTGGAAACTCTTGACTGCACTGGGGACCTGCATCCCTGTACTGAGGCTCAGTCCACCACACCATACCTGGAACAACACAACACATGAATACAACACCTCTACCATAGTCCACTACACCATACCTGTAGATAACAAAACACACATTAACAACTTGCAATACGGCTGTGAAATGTGCCGAATGATGGCACGCCTTACATAGCTACAGTGGGGGAAAAAAGTATTTAGTCAGCCACCAATTGTGCAAGATCTCCCACTTAAAAAGATGAGAGAGGCCTTTAATTTTCATCATAGGTACACGTCAACTATGACAGACAAATAGAGATTTTTTTTCTCCAGAAAATCACATTGTAGGATTTTTAATGAATTTATTTGCAAATTATGGTGGAAAATAAGTATTTGGTCACCTACAAACAAGCAAGATTTCTGGCTCTCACAGACCTGTAACTTCTTCTTTAAGAGGCTCCTCTGTCCTCCACTCGTTACCTGTATTAATGGCACCTGTTTGAACTTGTTATCAGTATAAAAGACACCTGTCCACAACCTCAAACAGTCACACTCCAAACTCCACTACGGCCAAGACCAAAGAGCTGTCAAAGGACACCAGAAACAAAATTGTAGACCTGCACCAGGCTGGGAAGACTGAATCTGCAATAGGTAAGCAGCTTGGTTTGAAGAAATCAACTGTGGGAGCAATTATTAAGAAATGGAAGACATACAAGACCACTGACAATCTCCCTCGATCTGCGGCTCCACGCAAGATCTCACCCCGTGGGGTCAAAATGATCACAAGAACGGTGAGCAAAAATCCCAGAACCACACGGGGGACCTAGTGAATGACCTGCAGAGAGCTGGGACCAAAGTAACAAAGCCTACCATCAGTAACACACTACGCCGCCAGGGACTCAAATCCTGCAGTGCCAGAAGTGTACCCCTGCTTAAGCCAGTACATGTCCAGGCCCGTCTGAAGTTTGCTAGAGTGCATTTGGATGATCCAGAAGAGGATTGGGAGAATGTCATATGGTCAGATGAAACCAAAATAGAACATTTTGGTAAAAACTCAACTCGTCGTGTTTGGAGGACAAAGAATGCTGAGTTGCATCCAAAGAACACCATACCTACTGTGAAGCATGGGGGTGGAAACATCATGCTTTTGGGCTGTTTTTCTGCAAAGGGACCAGGACGACTGATCTGTGTAAAGGAAAGAATGAATGGGGCCATGTATCATGAGATTTTGAGTGAAAACCTCCTTCCATCAGCAAGGGCATTGCAGATGAAACGTGGCTGGGTCTTTCAGCATGACAATGATCCCAAACACACCGCCCGGGCAACGAAGGAGTGGCTTCGTAAGAAGCATTTCAAGGTCCTGGAGTGGCCTAGCCAGTCTCCAGATCTCAACCCCATAGAAAATCTTTGGAGGGAGTTGAAAGTCCTTGTTGCCCAGCGACAGCCCCAAAACATCACTGCTCTAGAGGAGATCTGCATGGAGGAATGGCCCAAAATACCAGCAACAGTGTGTGAAAACCTTGTGAAGACTTACAGAAAACGTTTGACCTGTGTCATTGCCAACAAAGGGCATATAACAAAGTATTGAGAAACTTTTGTTATTGACCAAATACTTATTTTCCACCATAATTTGCAAATAAATTCATAAAAAATCCTACAATGTGATTTTCTGGATTATTTTTTCTCATTTTGTCTGTCATAGTTGACGTGTACCTATGATGAAAATTACAGGCCTCTCTCATCTTTTTAAGTGGGAGAACTTGGACCATTGGTGGCTGACTAAATACTTTTTCCCCCCACTGTATGTGTTGTTCACGGCAGTTGGACTGTTCTGAGACCATTAACTATCATTACAGACTCACAGGCATATCTTCTCTTGTTTTGTACCAGTATTCCTCACTCTTGGTAGACCAAGGAAGACAATTTTCGGATCACTGAAAATGTATTGGTTTTAGCTGGTTCAATATAGTGTACACACACCCAGTAGATTTCACAGATACAGGGTGTATATGGATAATATCTGGACCTGTGTTCTGGGACTGAGCTAGCCTGTGACCTATGGACCTGTGGTCTGGGACTGACTGACCTATGGACCTGTGGTCTGGGACTGACTGACCTATGGACCTGTGGTCTGGGACTGACTGACCTATGGACCTGTGGTCTGGGGCTGACTGACCTATGGACCTGTGGTCTGGGACTGAGCTAGTCTGTGACCTATGGACCTGTGGTCTGGGACTGAGCTAGTCTGTGACCTATGGACCTGTGGTCTGGGGCTGACTGACCTATGGACCTGTGGTCTGGGACTGAGCTAGTCTGTGACCTATGGACCTGTGGTCTGGGACTGAGCTAGTCTGTGACCTATGGACCTGTGGTCTGGGGCTGACTGACCTATGGACCTGTGGTCTGGGACTGAGCTAGTCTGTGACCTATGGACCTGTGGTCTGGGACTGAGCTAGTCTGTGACCTATGGACCTGTGGTCTGGGGCTGAGCTAGTCTGTGACCTATAGACCTGTGGTCTGGGACTGAGCTAGTCTGTGACCTATGGACCTGTGGTCTGGGACTGACTGACCTATGGACCTGTGGTCTGGGACTGACTGAGCTCTAAACACATCAAGCAAATAACATGCAAGGCCTCCTGGGGTGATTAAAGGAGAATATGGCAACATATTTGCATTGTCACTGGACAGATTATTGAAAGTAAAGCCCTGTTTTACCCTGCTGCTAAACTGAGTTTGTCTGGGTGTATAACATTGATCTTCTTTGACCAATGTCCACTTGTGAATGAAATGTGCTACCAATAGTCATGAAACATTTCACATTTATATATGAGTAATTTAGCAGACGCTCTTATCCAGAGAGACCATTTAGCAGACGCTCTTATCCAGAGAGACCATTTAGCAGACGCTCTTATCCAGAGCGACTTCCAGTTAGTGCATTCATCCTAAGATAGCTAGGTGGGACAACCACATATCACAGTCATAGTCACAACACTTCTTCCCGACAAAGTAGCTGTCAGAAAAGTCGGTGCTAGTTAGAAGTACGAGTGTTAGTTCATGAAAGAAACTTTTATTTTTATTTATTTTTTATATTGTTTTTTTTACAATACAAGTTCTCTGGTGTTATCTAGGTCTTGATGACAGGCAGGCGGTGTAAAGTACAGGGATGAGGGAGTGGTAGTTAGACAAAATAATATCAACCATAATACAGACAAAACATACCATGAAGGCTGGTACAACAGGTTGGCTAAACTTAGCCTTGAACGTGTGGATCAACTGCTTGGTTTCAGCGTTGTAGAAGGACACTTGTCCTGAGGAAGAACAAGAGAAAAACAAACAGAATTCAGGCCCAAGCAAACTATTGCATCCACTTCACTTGTTGAAGCACAGAGAGAGAAGGATGAGAAGTGTCTCCTGATAATAATAATATGCCATTTTAGCAGACGCTTTTAACCAAAGCGACTTACAGTCGTGTGCATACATTTTTACGTATGGGTGGTCCCGGGGATCGAACCCACTACCCTGGCGTTACAAGCGCCGTGCTCTACCGGCTGAGCTATTCTGATACTCAGAGGAGAACAGCCTAGTTTGTAATCACTTCCTGGGGAAGAGAGATGGCTGAAATCCAATATGGCCGTATCCGATGGCCTATGTCACCGTCACCTGAGGGATATGCTATTCCACCCTGACTGGCTGTAAAACACACCACTACATGTACAATAGAACAACGAGGCTCACCTTGTTCTCAGTTGGTGAAATTGTCAGTACAATATATCACACGTATAGCTGCATAAAATGTATGGATCAACAACAGGATTTTAATACCTGCCAGGTGTTGAAATCCATTGAACCACAGCTCCTATCAAACCTGGGTTCAAACTTCAAATACTATTTGACATTTTTTTTGGAATACTTTAGCTGTGCTTGACTGAGCTTTCCTGCCGAAACGGAACCAATAAAAGAGTCCCAAAAGTGTAAACACCACCTATCTGCCACCTCAGACAGGCTAAAGCAAAGGCTCAAAGTATCTGAAATATTTCAAATAATATTTGAACCCAGGTCTGGGTTCCTATGTCTCTAACATCAACCCACCTGAGTCCAGGTCACAGAAGACTCCGATGCGGTCAGGTGCGGCGCCGTCCAGACTCTTGGCCTTGTTGTTGTGCTTGGCGGAGAAGGAGGTCTGCAGCCAGGTGTTGATGTGGATACACCATGTGGTGTTGGTCTTTCCCAGCTGGTCGAACTTCCCCAGGTTCCTGTAGGAGACCCCGACGCTGTAGGACTTACAGTCTTTAAGAGCTTTCACCTCCCAGTAGTGTTGACCACAGTCCATACTGGTATCACCTGGGAGCGGTGGACAGACATGAAGGCTTATCAATCCCTTGACAGACAGAGCAAACACACATAAATACACAACTGGTGTCACCTGGGAGCGGTGGACAGACATGAAGGCTTATCAATCCCTTGACAGACAGAGCAAACACACATAAATACACAACTGGTGTCACCTGGTGGCTGGATACTGTGGTAGTATGATTTCATACATAATACCTGGGTGGGGACTGGAGAGGACAGACAGGACATCTTATGAATCACTACACAGACTTCTGGTGTGCCTTGGGAGTGGATATTATATTATGATATAATAATGTTATACCTGGGTGTGGAGGACAGGAAACCTTATCAATCCCACCTTGGGAGAGAACAAACACTGACACCCAAAACATCATAATACACGAAAACCCTGTTGAACATGTTTACCTAGCACTGTGTCCTCTGTTATGAATCCTCTGACAGAGCAGTGAGAACACAGCACGCCACTAAACAACTACCCTTCGTGGGTAGAGACTTCTGACAGAACACAGCACGCCACTAAACAACTACCCTTCGTGGGTAGAGACTTCTGACAGAACACAGCACGCCACTAAACGACTACCCTTCGTGGGTAGAGACTTCTGACAGAACACAGCACGCCACTAACGACTACCCTTCGTGGGTAGAGACTTCTGACAGAACACAGCACGCCACTAAACGACTACCCTTCGTGGGTAGAGACTTCTGACAGAACACAGCACGCCACTAACGACTACCCTTCGTGGGTAGAGACTTCTGACAGAACACAGCACGCCACTAAACGACTACCCTTCGTGGGTAGAGACTTCTGACAGAACACAGCACGCCACTAACGACTACCCTTCGTGGGTAGAGACTTCTGACAGAACACAGCACGCCACTAATTCTTACATAGATGTTCCTTTTGTCCAGGTGGGAAAGGGCAGTGTGGAGTGCAATAGAGATTGCGTCATCTGTGGATCTGTTGGGGTGGTATGCTAATTGGAGTGGGTCTAGGGTGTCTGGTATGATGGTGTTGATGTGAGCCATGACCAGCCTTTCAAAGCACTTCATGGCTACAGACGTGAGTGCTATAAGGTTGGTAGGGTTTACCTACCTAGCACAGTGATGTATTAACATTGTGTTTACCTAGCACAGTGATGTGTTAACGTTGTGTTTACCTAGCACAGTGATGTGTTAACGTTGTGTTTACCTAGCACAGTGATGTGTTAACGTTGTGTTTACCTAGCACAGTGATGTGTTAACGTTGTGTTTACCTAGCACAGTGATGTGTTAACGTTGTGTTTACCTACCTAGCACAGTGATGTGTTAACGTTGTGTTTACCTAGCACATAAATGTGTTAACGTTGTGTTTACCTAGCACAGTGATGTGTTAACGTTGTGTTTACCTAGCACAGTGATGTGTTAACGTTGTGTTTACCTAGCACATAAATGTGTTAACGTTGTGTTTACCTAGCACAGTGATGTGTTAACGTTGTGTTTACCTAGCACAGTGATGTGTTAACGTTGTGTTTACCTACCTAGCACAGTGATGTGTTAACGTTGTGTTTACCTACCTAGCACAGTGATATGTTAACGTTGTGTTTACCTACCTAGCACAGTGATGTGTTAACGTTGTGTTTACCTAGCACAGTGATGTGTTAACGTTGTGTTTACCTAGCACAGTGATGTGTTAACGTTGTGTTTACCTAGCACAGTGATGTGTTAACGTTGTGTTTACCTACCTAGCACAGTGATGTGTTAACGTTGTGTTTACCTAGCACAGTGATGTGTTAACGTTGTGTTTACCTAGCACAGTGATGTGTTAACGTTGTGTTTACCTAGCACAGTAATGTGATAACGTTGCGTTTACCTACCTAGCAAAGTGATGTGTTAACGTTGTGTTTACCTAGCACAGTGATGTGTTAACGTTGTGTTTACATTTACATTACATTTACATTTTTACATTTTAGTCATTTAGCAGACGCTCTTATCCAGAGTGACTTACAGGAGCAATTAGGGTTAAGTGCCTTGCTCAAGGGCACAGCGACAGATTTTCCACCTAGTCGGCTCGGGGATTAGAACCAGCGACCTCTCGGTTACTGGCACAACGCTCTTACCCACTAAGCTACCTGCCGCCCCTTTACGTTGTGTTTACTTACCTAGCACGGTGTAGGACTCTCCAGTGAACCTGTCTCTGCCTCCTCTGATGGCAGGCGACCGAGTCGTCAACGTTCTCTTGGGAGACGGAGTTCCACTTCTACAACCGAGAGGAAGGAAGGAAGGGCAGAACATTCTAAAGATTAGCATCGCAACACACTGACATTCTAAAGATTAGCATCGCAACACACTGACATTCTAAAGATTAGCATCGCAACAGACTGACATTCTAAAGATTAGCATCGCAACACACTGACATTCTAAAGATTAGCATCGCAACACACTGACATTCTAAAGATTAGCATCGCAACACACTGACATTCTAAAGATTAGCATCGCAACAGACTGACATTCTAAAGATTAGCATCGCAACAGACTGACATTCTAAAGATTAGCATCGCAACACACTGACATTCTAAAGATTAGCATCGCAACACACTGACATTCTAAAGATTAGCATCGCAACAGACAAGACAGTAGAGTGAACAGGATGCTGTGGAGAAGCCCATTTCCTTTCAGCTAGGTATCCAGCTCCAAGGACCAATTTATCTGAAAGAAGATGGAGTTTTCCACAGATGTCATTGGTAAACTATGAAGATAAACAACAACCCTTGCAGTATGAAACATACGGATGAAGACGCTCTTTTATACGCACTTCAACAGTTTATCAGATTGCAAACAAACTCAAGCTTTTAGTGGTGTAAGACACAAGCAAACAGGGTGGAAGAGGAAATGAGAGATGAGAACTGGTAACAAACAGACCAATGGAAATGAGATGAGATGAGAACTGGTAACAAACAGACCAATGGAAATGAGATGAAATGAGAACTGGTACCAAACAGACCAATGGAAATGAGATGAGATGAGAACTGGTAACAAACAGACCAATGGAAATGAGATGAGATGAGAACTGGTAACAAACAGACCAATGGAAATGAGATGAGATGAGAACTGGTAACAAACAGACCAATCTGAGATGTTATTGGACTAGACGGGATCTCGGTGTAAGGGACTATTTTAAGGTTGAAATTGAGAGGTGGAAGGATACTCCTGGACAAGTTAGGAACATAGCTGTGACATGGCCGATATGGATACATCCTCTACAGGCAAATACATCAGATATAAGACTTCTCAGGTGGTGATTGAAACACTAATCAGGTTTCCATCCAACGTCTTTAAGCATGTTGTGTGGCCTCCCACTACGACTGGGGAAAGGATGCAGTTTATTAGGCTACAGATCAAATAAGTTCTGATGAACGTTTCAAGTTTTTATTGTCATGTGCACCAGTACAGTGAAATGCCTTTCTTGCTCTTCCCCAACACTGCAGTGTCAATAGCAGTGGCAGGGTGGTGATGAGCTTGATGCTCCTTTCAATAAATATCGACGCTCTTATTCTGGTGACATGATGATCGATGCTTGGCTGCCGTTTGACAAATACAAATAATCTTGCTATTTTGTCCATAATAATCCCGTCATGTAGGCTCTACGTGCGCTCCAGCCAACAGCTCGCAGATACACAGTGAGGGTCGGCTAGCCCAGAGTTTCCCAAACTCGGTCCTTTTCGGACTATAAGCCGCGCCTTTTTTCCCATTTTTCGACCCTGCGGCTTATATAACGGTGCGGCTAATCTATGGATTTTTACAGCTAACGGCCACTAGAAGACCTCCTAAATCTATGGATTTTACAGGTTACAGTCCATCAACTTTAACTCTATGGGCTCTATGACCGGTCCGCGCCCCCCACCTTTAAGCGGCGGGCTCCAGCAGGAAAAGCTGGAGGCCGGCGCAAAAGTAAAAGTGGAACCGAGAGTGGTACGAGAGACAGAACGAGCATTACGAGAGCGAGACAGTTTGTGCAAAGGAAGTTTTCATGCACAAACCCTCATTATGGAAAACAAATGTAGAAATGCATATGATGCAGCTTTTAAGTTAAAGGCAGTCAATCTGGCTGTCAAAACATCCACGATCATTAACGGGTTCCGAAAGGCTGGACTGCTGCGTGATGAAGAGGAGGACGCCGCCACAGCTGAGGCCCTTTAGAGGCTGTTCGATTCCGACAGTGATGAAGAGGAGTTCGTTGGTTTTGAGAGCGACAACGAAGGAGAGAGGAGAGTGGCTGACGAAGCCACCCTGAGCCTGTTAGTTTCCGACACTGAAGATGAGGACTTTGGTGGTTTTAGTACGCAGGAAGAAGACGGAGATGAGGATTAATGACTTGACTTTTCTGGTTACAGCCGTGTACTGCACCTTAGCCTAAAAGATGAAGACGAGGATTAATGACTTTTCTGGTAGGCTGATTACCGTATATTTTAAGCAGCCGTGTTGCTGCAACTTTAGGCTTACGCGCTTACTGTCGTGTTACAGGCACTTTATTTTGCACTTTTAAAAAAACACATTTAATTTAGCCATTGATATTCCCTCGTCAAGCGCTGTAAGCTTTGTTTTTTGTTATGGTACTACTGTAGGCTATAATGTAGATAAATATTCAAAGATGTGCACACTTTTTCAAGGTTTTTCAAAAATAACCAAAGTTAAGTGGTTAAATGATTGTGACGCTATTAACTAATTTTGCTGGGGAACCCCTAGCACTCCCTCAAGGACCACTGGTTGAAAACCACTGCTGTAGATCACTGCCGGTATGTGCGCTGGGACCGTTTACGTTTGAAAGTTGAAAAGTTTGTGTGTCTGCAACGCTGTGTGATACAGTACAGTTTACACAGCACAGTATATGTTCTGTAGCTACTATTGCACTAAATGGTAACACTTGAATACGTTATGCAAATATGCAACCTGTTTGTTGAAATGTTAATAAATGGGAGCTTCCTCAAGCAGCCATCTCTTTCCCGACAATCCCCTCTGTGCACGAACCCTTACATATGGTAATTAAACATTAAAACTCCTGCGGCTTATAGTCCAGTGCGGCTTATATATGTACGCATCATTCAATATCATTCAATTTAGCTGCTGCGGCTTATACTCCGGTGCGCCTTATAGTGCGGAAAATACGGTAACTTGATTCCAGAAGAAAGCCACTTTCAATGTATTTAGGTTGGGGGCTTTTCATCAAGGTGAGTGTTTCTTGGCGTAACGTCGTCCCCAGGCTATTGAACGCACAGCACATATAACCCTGGGAGATCAACCATTCAAAGTTGGCCTTAAATGGAAGTGACCATAGAATTCTATAGGAGTGACCTTACTGAGTAAAGTATTTGTCCTCGTCACTACTTAACACAGTCAAAAAGTCACAATTATTGCTGAACCCTGCCCAATTCCACAAGTTATCTTCATAAAATGTGATTTTAAACCTAACTAATGAAGGCCAAGGTTGATGCGTTGGTCCACCAGACCTTCCGGAAGTGTCTGGGAACGAGATTAGGTGTCACGTGACTAACATGACATCACTTTAGAGCGTATGCCATAGTGGGTTATGCCACATTTATGAACCCTTTATAAAGCATGACATATGGTTATAGATGCTTTGTAACACATTTATGTAGTGCTTATGAAGGCATTATGAAGGCTTTATGAAGCCTTTATAAGCTGAATGTAATTTAAAGCGGGACTTATTTTTCTAGTTTTTTTTTTCTGAGAGAGCATTGTGATCATGGTTGTGATTGTTGTTGTGATTGTTGTTGTGATCATTGTTGTAATCATAGTTGTGATCATTTTGTTTTTGTGAACATGATATGGAACGAATGAAAAACATGTATATTACAAATAGTACACTAGAACTGTTACTCACCAAAACCATTCGTTGCAATCAGGGAAAATGGGTAAAAACAAAATCAATTCTGTGCTATTAACTATACATTGATTCTGTAACAGAGATTGGTCAGCTGAAGGTAGAGGTTAATTTGATTTCTTTAGAAGGAGAGTGAGAAATAAGGGGGTTTTAGAAACAGAAACAGAGTTAGGATGTAATCTACAGATGGAGCTTCTTTCAGGACAGAATAAGATTTAATCATTTTCTTTGTTCGTGGACGGCAACCATGTCCAGTTTAACCAAATCAAATGTGCAATTATTTGGCCTAAATCAATAGTTGGTAAAGAGCTACCCTCTCCATATGTAGGTGACTAGTGAAGTCAGTCACACACAGATTCTCAATATCAAGTCATTTTCAGGAGGTTAATTCTCACAGACCTCAACGAGCAAAAATAGACTTTGCTGAAAATAATCTGTAAACTGTTCACACAAAAACCTGGAAGGGACTTGATGAATAAAACATATCTAAGCGTTTGTTTGCTGGAGCGTACGAACACGACCACAAGCGGTCTCTACCTAATACAATTCCACAGGTTTCAGGTAGCCTAATGCTACATTTAAGTAGCCTAATGCTACATTCAAGTAACATAATGCTACATTCAGGAAGCCTAATTCTACATTAAAGTCACATACTGCTACATGCAGGTAGCCTAATGCTACATGCAGGTAGCCTAATGCTACATTCAGGTAGACTAATGCTACATTCAAGTAGCCTAATGCTACATTCAGGTAGCCTAATGCCACAGGTTAAAAGGTAGCCTAATGCTACATTCAGGTAGCCTACTGCTACATTCAGGTAGCCTAATGCCACAGGTTAAAGGTAGCCTAATGCTACATTCAGGTAGCCTACTGCTACATTCAGGTAGCCTAATGCTACAGGTTAAAGGTAGCCTAATGCTACAGGTTAAAGGTACCTAATGCTACAGGTTAAATGTAGCCTAATGCTACAGGTTAAAGGTAGCCTAATGCTACATTCAGGTAGCCTACTGCTACATTCAGGTAGCCTAATGCCACAGGTTAAAGGTAGCCTAATGCTACATTCAGGTAGCCTAATGCTACAGGTTAAAGGTAGCCTAATGCTACATTCAGGTAGCCTAATGCTACAGGTTAAAGGTAGCCTAATGCTACATTCAGGTAGCCTAATGCCACAGGTTAAAGGTAGCCTAATGCTACATTCAGGTAGCCTAATGCCACAGGTTAAAGGTAGCCTAATGCTACATTCTACAGCTTAAAGTCACACATGGTCACCTTGACATGTTCTTCAGATTGGTAAGATGAGCACTGTTGACGACCACAAAGAAACAATAAAAGCAACTGGTTAAAATAAAGACATTCTGTGGGTGTCATGGTGAAGCTTGCTATTTAAAGGACGCTAAAAGAGGTTCCATTCCATTAGGCACTAAATAACGCAAATCCTACACTATAGCTGAGTAAACATCTCTCCAGACAGTCCAGAGAATACTACGGGAACTATGAATTCTCTCTTTAATGGGGCAATCCGCAGTTGAAACAATATCAAAGCCTCCTCCCTGCCCCTGTTTCAAGTAAAAAGCTGAGGGATGGGGCTGGAGAAATGTAACGACTCAAATGTATAGACAGGACTATGGATATAAGGACTGACCATCCATGGAATCAAAATGATAGTTTTAACCATATTTTGAGGCTATGTAGTACTTTGTTTACAAACATTTCAGTAAAACAAGCTTCTATTTTGGGTTCTGATGAACTAAGCTTATTAGTCAAAACATGGATGTAGCCAACTGGATGTAGCCAGCTGGATGTAGCCAACTGGATGTAGCCAGCTGGATGTAGCCAACTGGATGTAGCCAACTGGATGTAGCCAACTGGATATAGCCAACTGGATGTAGCCAACTGGATGTAGCCAACTGGATGTAGCCAACTGGATGTAGCCAACTGGATGTAGCCAGCTGGATGTAGCCAACTGGATGTAGCCAACTGGATGTAGCCAACTGGATATAGCCAACTGGATGTAGCCAGCTGGATGTAGCCAACTGGATGTAGCCAACTGGATGTAGCCAACTGGATGTAGCCAACTGGATGTAGCCAGCTGGATGTAGCCAACTGGATGTAGCCAACTGGATGTAGCCAACTGGATATAGCCAACTGGATATAGCCAACTGGATGTAGCCAGCTGGATGTAGCCAACTGGATGTAGCCAACTGGATGTAGCCAACTGGATGTAGCCAACTGGATGTAGCCAACTGGATGTAGCCAACTGGATGTAGCCAACTGGATGTACCAGCTGGATGTAGCCAACTGGATGTAGCCAACTGGATGTACCCAACTGGATGTAGCCAACTGGATGTACCAGCTGGATGTAGCCAACTGGATGTAGCCAACTGGATGTAGCCAACTGGATGTAGCCAACTGGATGTACCAGCTGGATGTAGCCAACTGGATGTACCAGCTGGATGTAGCCAACTGGATGTAGCCAACTGGATGTAGCCAACTGGATGTAGCCAACTGGATGTAGCCAGCTGGATGTAGCCAACTGGATGTACCAGCTGGATGTAGCCAACTGGATGTAGCCAACTGGATGTAGCCAACTGGATGTAGCCAACTGGATGTAGCCAACTGGATGTAGCCAGCTGGAAGTGCCCCTTTACGACGGAGCCTAGAATTGTTTTTCCAATATCCTTTTCTAAGAGTATCAACACTGCAGCTTGAAGAAATGAGGCCTCAACTTGGCAGACAGTGTCTGGAGTAACAATGCTGCAAGTGAAATGGCCTTTTGTCCTTTTGACCAATCAGATAAGCTCTTTTGCCAATAATTGGGTGGTCTGTGGAAACACAGCCCATGAACTAAAGAAAGAAGAATGCGAGAGAAAAAGCGGTTGAACGGTAGCCTGGTACCCAGACCTGTGTATGTCCTGTCACGCCAAAAGTGACAATGACCACAGAAGTTGGAAAGAGAGCACACAGATCTAGGACCAGGCTATTTCAATGAGAGTTCCAGGTAAAATGAGGATTAGGCCCAATCCCAAATGGATCCCTAGACCCTAAAACCTATGTGGAGAGCTAAGAGGATTTCACAGGTGCAGTCAATATGGTAATATCTACACCTCGCCCTCTGATAGGCTCGGTCGAAGTGTCTACACATTGCTTCTACCAATCAAATCCTCTCAGATCTCCACAAGTGCATAGGGCCTAGGGGTCCATTTGGGACGTGTATTTGTTTCAGTTCAGTTCTCACCTGCCCTTGTTCTCCTTGCCTTTGAGCTTGTTCTCCAGCCCCTTGCCCCCCTGGGGGTCCCACTCCACACTCCCGTCCTCTACCTTCAGGTTCAGGTGGGCCGAAGACGAGTCAAAGCCAAAGTTGAACGCTGGGGAGGGAATCAATCAATCAATCAATCAAACAAACAAACAAACACGAGATATAGCAGGCATTTTCTTACGTTTTTGTTGCCGGGGAAAACACTTAAGTCAAATAACTTTTATATCAATATTGTAATGACTACGTAATTAAAGATCCAAGACAACATAGTGCAATAGTTTTACCTCTGGTTTCCAGGGTAACTAACCGTCTTACCTCTGGTTTCCAGGGTAACTAACCGTCTTACCTCTGGTTTCCAGGGTAACTAACCGTCTTACCTCTGGTTTCCAGGGTAACTGGATCCGAGTATTCTCCAGCTGCTGCCTTGTTGCATGCTCGTACCCGGAAGTTCATGAACTTGGAGTCAAACTTTAAACCTGGAGGATGAACATTCCATTATCTGCATTGGTTCATAACGTTCTGTAGGTGAACAAGCTTTCACACTTTGATAAAGTTACAAACGTTTAGGTGAAGCAAAGCTATATGGATTGTTCACGTTTTAAACACAGGAAGCTACATGAAGACAGTCCAGTCTTAGCCTGGTTCACGTTTTAAAACACAGGAAGCTACATGAAGACAGTGCAGTCTTAGCCTGGTACCAGAGCTGTTTGTGCCGTCTTGCCAAGTGGCATGACAATGGCCATAGGAGTTGGCAAGACGGCACAAACAGATCTGGGACCAGGCTACAGTAGGTCTACTCTAGTTTCGTACCTGACAGTGAGTATTCTGTGGTCTTGATGTTATCCACCACCTCCCAGCAGTGTTCGTCTTTGATGCGTGGCAGTCCTTCGTGGTCGGTCTTTCTGTACTCCAGTATGTAGTGGTCTATCTTGCTGTCCTCCACTGGCATCTTCCAGGCTACGGACACCGTGTTGTCTGACACCAGACAATCCCCTACCTCCATCTCTGGGGCCCAGGGGACTGGAATAACATAGAGAGGAAGGCATCTTTAAAAGCTGAACAAGATCTTTCCATAGGACAATATTGGTAAATAATTTATAGTCTAAGACTTTTTGGATATTGTTCAAACCTCATAAATGTGTCCATATCACAATCAATAGGTTCCTAGCATTCATGGGGATGTTTTTTTACAATTAAATGAGAGAGAGAGGAGTGTGACAGACGTCCTATTAACAAGCCAGTGGACACACCACTGGGGATCAGGTGGTTTGCTTATTATAGTAGTTAGAGAGCTTCCATTGACTAAGATATCCTAGAGGTCAGGGTCCCACCACTGGTACTAACAGCAGCCTTTAGGTTCTAGAGGTCAGGGGCCCACCACTGGTACTAACAGCAGCCTTTAGGTTCTAGAGGTCAGGGTCCCACCACTGGTACTAACAGCAGCCTTTAGGTTCTAGAGGTCAGGGTCCCACCACTGGTACTAACAGCAGACTTTAGGTTCTAGAGGTCAGGGTCCCACCACTGGTACTAACAGCAGCCTTTAGGTTCTAGAGGTCAGGGTCCCACCACTGGTACTAACAGCAGCCTTTAGGTTCTAGAGGTCAGGGTCCCACCACTGGTACTAACAGCAGCCTTTAGGTTCTAGAGGTCAGGGTCCCACCACTGGTACTAACAGCAGCCTTTAGGTTCTAGAGGTCAGGGTCCCACCACTGGTACTAACAGCAGCCTTTAGGTTCTAGAGGTCAGGGTCCCACCACTGGTACTAACAGCAGCCTTTAGGTTCTAGAGGTCAGGGGCCCACCACTGGTACTAACAGCAGCCTTTAGGTTCTAGAGGTCAGGGTCCCACCACTGGTACTAACAGCAGCCTTTAGGTTCTAGAGGTCAGGGTCCCACCACTGGTACTAACAGCAGCCTTTAGGTTCTAGAGGTCAGGGTCCCACCACTGGTACTAACAGCAGCCTTTTGGTTCTAGAGGTCAGGGTCCCACCACTGGTACTAACAGCAGCCTTTAGGTTCTAGAGGTCAGGGTCCCACCACTGGTACTAACAGCAGCCTTTAGGTTCTAGAGGTCAGGGTCCCACCACTGGTACTAACAGCAGCCTTTAGGTTCTAGAGGTCAGGGTCCCACCACTGGTACTAACAGCAGCCTTTAGGTTCTAGAGGTCAGGGTCCCACCACTGGTACTAACAGCAGCCTTTAGGTTCTAGAGGTCAGGGTCCCACCACTGGTACTAACAGCAGCCTTTAGGTTCTAGAGGTCAGGGTCCCACCACTGGTACTAACAGCAGCCTTTAGGTTCTAGAGATCAGGGTCCCACCACTGGTACTAACAGCAGCCTTTAGGTTCTAGAGATCAGGGTCCCACCACTGGTACTAACAGCAACCTTTAGGTTCTAGAGGTCAGGGGCCCACCACTGGTACTAACAGCAGCCTTTAGGTTCTAGAGGTCAGGGTCCCACCACTGGTACTAACAGCAGCCTTTAGGTTCTAGAGGTCAGGGTCCCACCACTGGTACTAACAGCAGCCTTTAGGTTCTAGAGGTCAGGGTCCCACCACTGGTACTAACAGCAGCCTTTAGGTTCTAGAGGTCAGGGTCCCACCACTGGTACTAACAGCAGCCTTTAGGTTCTAGAGGTCAGGGTCCCACCACTGGTACTAACAGCAGCCTTTAGGTTCTAGAGGTCAGGGTCCCACCACTGGTACTAACAGCAGCCTTTAGGTTCTAGAGGTCAGGGTCCCACCACTGGTACTAACAGCAGCCTTTAGGTTCTAGAGGTCAGGGGCCCACCACTGGTACTAACAGCAGCCTTTAGGTTCTAGAGGTCAGGGGCCCACCACTGGTACTAACAGCAGCCTTTAGGTTCTAGAGGTCAGGGTCCCACCACTGGTACTAACAGCAGCCTTTAGGTTCTAGAGGTCAGGGGTCCCACCACTGGTACTAACAGCAGCCTTTAGGTTCTAGAGGTCAGGGTCCCACCACTGGTACTAACAGCAGCCTTTAGGTTCTAGAGGTCAGGGTCCCACCACTGGTACTAACAGCAGCCTTTAGGTTCTAGAGGTCAGGGTCCCACCACTGGTACTAACAGCAGCCTTTAGGTTCTAGAGGTCAGGGTCCCACCACTGGTACTAACAGCAGCCTTTAGGTTCTAGAGGTCAGGGTCCCACCACTGGTACTAACAGCAGCCTTTAGGTTCTAGAGGTCAGGGTCCCACCACTGGTACTAACAGCAGCCTTTAGGTTCTAGAGGTCAGGGTCCCACCACTGGTACTAACAGCAGCCTTTAGGTTCTAGAGGTCAGGGTCCCACCACTGGTACTAACAGCAGCCTTTAGGTTCTAGAGATCAGGGTCCCACCACTGGTACTAACAGCAGCCTTTAGGTTCTAGAGGTCAGGGTCCCACCACTGGTACTAACAGCAGCCTTTAGGTTCTAGAGGTCAGGGTCCCACCACTGGTACTAACAGCAGCCTTTAGGTTCTAGGGGTCAGGGGCCCACCACTGGTACTACCAGCAGCCTTTAGGTTCTAGGGGTCAGGGGCCCACCACTGGTACTAACAGCAGCCTTTAGGTTCTAGAGGTCAGGGTCCCACCACTGGTACTAACAGCAGCCTTTAGGTTCTAGAGGTCAGGGGCCCACCACTGGTACTAACAGCAGCCTTTAGGTTCTAGAGGTCAGGGTCCCACCACTGGTACTAACAGCAGCCTTTAGGTTCTAGGGGTCAGGGGCCCACCACTGGTACTAACAGCAGCCTTTAGGTTCTAGGGGTCAGGGGCCCACCACTGGTACTAACAGCAGCCTTTAGGTTCTAGAGGTCAGGGTCCCACCACTGGTACTAACAGCAGCCTTTAGGTTCTAGAGGTCAGGGGCCCACCACTGGTACTAACAGCAGCCTTTAGGTTCTAGAGGTCAGGGGCCCACCACTGGTACTAACAGCAGCCTTTAGGTTCTAGAGGTCAGGGGCCCACCACTGGTACTAACAGCAGCCTTTAGGTTCTAGAGGTCAGGGTCCCACCACTGGTACTAACAGCAGCCTTTAGGTTCTAGAGGTCAGGGTCCCACCACTGGTACTAACAGCAGCCTTTAGGTTCTAGAGGTCAGGGTCCCACCACTGGTACTAACAGCAGCCTTTAGGTTCTAGAGGTCAGGGTCCCACCACTGGTACTAACAGCAGCCTTTAGGTTCTAGAGGTCAGGGTCCCACCACTGGTACTAACAGCAGCCTTTAGGTTCTAGAGGTCAGGGTTCCACCACTGGTACTAACAGCAGCCTTTAGGTTCTAGAGGTCAGGGTCCCACCACTGGTACTAACAGCAGCCTTTAGGTTCTAGAGGTCAGGGTCCCACCACTGGTACTAACAGCAGACTTTAGGTTCTAGAGGTCAGGGTCACACCACTGGTACTAACAGCAGCCTTTAGGTTCTAGAGGTCAGGGTCCCACCACTGGTACTAACAGCAGCCTTTAGGTTCTAGAGGTCAGGGGCCCACCACTGGTACTAACAGCAGCCTTTAGGTTCTAGAGGTCAGGGTCCCACCACTGGTACTAACAGCAGCCTTTAGGTTCTAGAGGTCAGGGGCCCACCACTGGTACTAACAACAGCCTTTAGGTTCTAGAGGTCAGGGTCACACCACTGGTACTAACAGCAGCCTTTAGGTTCTAGAGGTCAGGGTCCCACCACTGGTACTAACAGCAGCCTTTAGGTTCTAGAGGTCAGGGTCCCACCACTGGTACTAACAGCAGCCTTTAGGTTCTAGAGGTCAGGGGCCCACCACTGGTACTAACAGCAGCCTTTAGGATCTCACAGCCTCTGTCATCCCGTATATGGGTTGAAAATGGCAGATTTTGTCATTGATAAGTGATAAGTATTTTCAGATTTCGTTATTGACAAATGCTGTGAAAAGTACAGTAAATATAAAATGCACATAAAATCAACAATGTAAGTGCTCTCTTTCAACCCTTTCTACTCTGGTCATGCATATACTTTTCATACTTCCTCTGTTAGAAACACTTCCATGTGGCTATATCCATACAGGCCAGTGTAAAAGGTTAACAGGCTGCAGATTGAAACTCAATGGAAACGTTCAACCAGATAATGCCTTTTAGCAGTTGGAGTGGGGCGTTTACTATTTTCATTGTGATTTAACACCACATTTTCCAGAACTTCCTGTTGTCATCCATCTTAAAGAGTTTCTGCCTTCTTTCTTCTTTAAAAAAAGGTAGACATCTTCCTCAATCATTTGGAGAAATGCTAACCTTCTGCGGAGGAGTTGTTACCAAGGCAATGGATCCCCAGCAACTCACTAGTGTTAGACTGTTGAAACCCCAAGAGGCTCTTTGTCTGTCAAATAAAGCCTCCAAGGAAGTCTCAGATATTTTCAGCTGTGGGCCCCCATTACACATCACAAGCACTAGAGGTTAGCAGCCAGCAGTCCTTAACAGAAGGAGAGCATTGGGGCGGCAGGTAGCCCAGCGGTTAGAGAGGAGAGCCAGCAACCGGAGTGTTGCCAGTTCAAATCCCGGGGAAAACATCTGACGGGGGAAAAAAATCCGGCGGGAAGTGAACTGGCAACCCTAGATGCCATTGCCTGCCATTGTGCCCTTGAGCAAGGCACTTAACCCCCCACAACAACTGCTCCACGGGCGCCCAGTGGCAGCCCCCTGCTCCAACCGGAGGGGTTTGGATTAAGCAGAAGTACAATTTCGGTTGGACATTGTGTACAATTGACGAATAAAGTGATCTTAAATCAGCCTTATCAAAAAGACCAAAGTCTGTCCTACTAGAAATGCAACAGGGTATTCATAAAGTATCTCAGAGTACGAGTGCTGATCCAGGAACAGTGTTGCCTTTTAGATGAAAATGAACAGACAGAGGAGACCTGATTCTAGACTAGCACTGCTACTCTGAGACACTTCCTAAATACTGGACCTGATCTTCTTCTTCTAGGCTCCTACGTCAAGCTGTAACCCAACGGCAACATGCATAAAGATGGCAGAATTCAGATATGACGTCATTGTTTTAGCAGTAT